AAATCAAATATCTAAATTTTTTCAATATTTTCTGTATTTTATTGGGGTTTTAATATAAACTTGTAGATATAATAATTATCTCAAAAGCGCTATTTGGAAATCCAGTTCGTAATAAGAGATTGATTTCAAAAATTATTTATTTATTTAAAAACTTCATAATAGTGAATTAGTATAAAGTTAAAGGAAAAAACGAACACTATCTACTATGGCCATCAGCTCAACCAAAGTTTTTGGTATTATACAAAAATTTGTTGGGTGTTTATTTTTTCAGTCCTGGTTGACCTCTTCATGGAAATTCCCATATGCCCAAATGTACTAATGTAAGATCGCTTGATATTAGGTTATGTAGACTTGAAAAAATTGCCTATATTTCAGACAAAATAATACAACATTTGTACTTAGTACTAAAAATCTTTACCAGATATTGAAACACTGCTAATAAAATGACAATTATAAACATAAAAAATCATTTTTAATAAATTCATTCAGTAAAAAATTATATGTTTTATTATATTAACTATTTTTTTTTTTTTTTTCATTTAAATAGGTGTCATAGTATAATGCGTGATACATACTCTTTAGGCGGGAGTGTAAGCGGCGTTCGGCCACCAAGTATCTTACTACCTGATGTATCACCTATTCCTTTGAGACATCCACTAACTCCACTATCGCAAGTTCAAGACATTGCGTCAGTAACAGGAACCCGAGAGTCACGATCTTTATGTAACAATAAAATTGGAACACGTTCAGTTAGTCAGGAATCTGTTTATACTATATTAATTAGATTGCCACCAGATTGTGGAAATGCAAGCAATGGCGTGGAAATAACACCATCAATTAAAATGATACACGAAGACTCCCCAATTCCTCCCACTAATTTACTTCCACGTCGAACTTTACCATCTCGAGATTCTGAATACAGTTTACCCCTTGGACGTCGAATGTCACATATCTCTCCAGATGTCAGAATTCCTCTTAATGCCAAAATAATTCCTAAACAGCTTGGTAAATCTGTTCATGCAGCTGGAAGAAACATTGGAAAGAAAAAGAAAAAATCACAAGAAAAACGCCAGGAATCCAAAGCTGCAAAAACTCTTTCAGCAATACTATTAAGTTTTATTATTACATGGACTCCTTATAATATTTTAGTTCTAATTAAACCATTAACTACCTGTTCCGATTGTATACCAAATGAGCTATGGGAATTTTTCTATGCTCTTTGTTACATTAACTCTACTATTAATCCGGTGTGCTACGCTCTTTGCAATGCATCATTTCGAAGAACTTATATACGGATATTGACGTGTAAATGGCACACACGAAATCGTGAAGGCATGGTTCGCGGCGTTTATAATTGAAATTTTTTAAATAACAAGAAATCTAATCAAATCAAAGAACCTAAGTACTGAGAACACATAAAATATAAATATATGCATACATGATTTGAGTACGATACTACATAATTTACCAAAAACCGCACAATTCTACAAATTTCGTTACCAATTATGTATAAATTCATGTTTATAATAAATAATAACCTTCATATAAGGTCTTTTGAAAAAAATTTTGTTACCCGAAAATAAAGATTAATTATAAGAAATGTTTTTACCTGTTTAGCTTTTTGTAATTATTGAAATTGATTTAACTTTTCGAATCTCTGATTTAAAATATTTAATTTGTTTAAAAGTATGTGGTAAGTACTAAAATATGTATAACAACTGTGATTGTAAAAAGAAATTAGCGCTTAGTTTATGTTAAAGTAAGTACTTACTTAAGTAAGTACTTACTTAAGTAAGTTTATATACATACCAGGAAAAACTTATATTGAAAAACAAGAGTGATATATTCGGCTGTGCCGAATCTTATATACCCTTGACCATAGTGTATTTAAAAATTAATTTTCCCGACTATATCATCTTATAGCAATACATACAATACAAAACATAATGAAAACAACGCTAAACGAAATATACACACAAAAAACAAAAAACACAAGGCAGTAAAATCAATAGACATCCAAACATACGAAACGAAATGCAAAACAAAAAACAAAAACAAAGTACACAACGCAATGAACCCAACAGACATCCAAACATACGAAATTCAATACACCAAGAAAACAAAAACAATATAGACAGCCATCCCAACATACGAAACTGAATACACCAAGAAACAAAAACAACATACACAAGGCAATGAAACACACGAAACGAAATACTCAAAAAAACAAAAACAAAATACTGTGTTCAGAAAACTGATTTCAACAGACAGACGGACATGGCTTAATCGACTCCGATTCAGAATATATATAGTTTATAGGGTCGGAAAATTATATTTTAGAAATTACAAACGGAATGACAAACTTATATATACCCTTCTCACGAAGGTGGAGGGTATAATAATAAGTTAAAAAGCTGATAAGACTTCTTACTACGAATAGGGAGTTAAAGAAGTACTTGCAATTTCTCTTACAAAGAGTTTTTGAATAGGTTAGGTTAAGTTAGGTTGATAGGAGGATGTATACTACATCAAATCCGAAGATATACACCTAGTCCACTAGCGGGCCTATTGTGCCCTCCTTTTCAAGAAAATTCGCTGGATGTTATTTTTATACCCACCATCAAAAAAGATGGGGGGTTATATTGTGAAAAAGCTTCAAATATTCACAAATTCGTTGTTTAAGAAGCAAATGCCACAAAATTTCGCATAAATCGGTTTTTTAACTTCCGAAATTAAATTATGAATTATGGCGGACATAGGACCATAATTGGCCCTACCCCACATATAAGGTCCCCTTCAGAAAATGACTATAATGATCATCACTGGCTTAATAATACGAATATAGCGATGAAAACGGCATACATAAGTTTCATGTGAGCCAATTACTCTCTAATTTCATGTGGATCGGTCCATAATAGACCCTACCCACCATATAAGGTCCCCTTCAGAAAATGACTTTAACGCTATTGGCAATTAAGGCTATTGGTGCTAGCAAAAATTGTCCAACAGTGTTCAGATAGCTATTTCTTCATTCCTTCCAAATTTGTTTTAACCCTTATTTGGTTTAAAAAATACGAATATACCGATGAAATTCGACACATATAAGTTTCATGCGATCCAAATTCACACTACAAAATTTTATATGGATCGTATATAATTGACCTTACCCCCCATATAAGGTCCCCTTTGTGTCGTGTGCACCCTGTAGTAGGGCAAAATTTAAAAAAGAAGAAGTTAGATAAAAAGTTGGCAACGCAGATTAGTAAACAGTTTGACAGCTGGAAAACATAAACAAATAGTTTTGTTTTTGTTTATGTTTATGTTTATGCCAGAAAAAAAAACTGTAGAAGACTGAATAGCTGAAATTTAATTAATAGAAGGGAACCATCTTGTTTACCGAGGTTTCTCGGTCCCTAAAAGCCAAAATGCCGGTCTTTTCATTTTTCCCTGCCCAAGAAGAAGGTGGAGCCCGTGGCCGTCAGAGAAAAAAAATCTTCATTTAAATTAAATAATTCTTTTTTTTATTCATAAAAGTTTTAAACTAAATTAAATCAATCTTAAAGCTAAATAAAGCGAGAAACATAATACTAAAGCAGCAACCCTGAGTCACGCCATCGCCAGCTCCATCCAGCGTGGGACTACTCTAGCAGATCCGCACCAACAGTCCTATGGTGCCCAGGTATTAAGGTTTTCGACATAGACGTGTACCTCTTACCCGAACGACAGGACGGACAGAACCTGTCCTTTTAGATAATTTCTATATATAAAAAAAATAAAAAAAAATTTAGTAAACAAAAAAAAATAAAGCCTATATTCGTTTATAGGCAAACCTTACGGTTAGTTGCTCGAAGCCAGTCCGCTGGTTGAAATTGAACCAGGCGTGCGCGTAAGGTTAGGATTGAGCTCAGGCCTACTTATGAATAGTGTCGCGGTAGATTTGTACTCATAGGTTGCCGGAAACCAGTATATACAAAAAAAAAGGAAAAAAAAACCAAATTATTTAAAAGGTTCTTATAATATATATATTTTTGTTACTTACCTGAAATACCCGAACAGACTATAAAACGGACGGACAGAAAACCACACCTGCAAACCAGCTCTCCTCAATAGTCCATTTGCGTTAGTCCTGCCAGCTGTCCATGTTGAGGAACCTGAAAGTAGAAGGGAAATCTTGAATTAAAAGAAGAAAAACTCTAAATGAAGTAAAAACTTAAATGAAATTTGAAACCTAAAACTTAAAAACTATAATTTGATAAAAATTAAAACTAAAATTTGATTAAATCTTAAAATCTAAAAGCTAAAAACTTAAAACTAAATCTTGTTAAAACTTAAAAACTAAATTTGTTAAAACTTAAAAACTAAATTTTGCTAAAACTTAAAAACTAAAGTTTGTTAAAATCTTAAAACTAAAAACTAAATTTGCTAAAACCTAAATTTGCATATTATTAAAACTTAATTGTTAATAATTATCATCTGAAGTTGGATTATTAAAATTTGCTAATATTTTAAATTTTTCTAAAACTCAAATTCTAAATTTCGATGAGACATTGTTAATTTTTTTATAATAAACAAAACCTTTATAATGTTTAAATGAAAATTTAAGTTGTTATCATTAATATGATGTGGTAAATTTAATAATCGGCGGTAAGTAGGGTGAATAAATGTTTGCAGGGAAGATGGGACGTCGAGGAAGATGACGTCATGGCGAGGATGAATCCTCGAGAGGGAGGGTCATAATTGTGTATAGGTATGACCGTAGGGAGATGCAGGACTACTTTTGGCCCCTTTTCAATAATACCCCCAAATGCTGGTATGAATTTTTGTGTTAGTGTGTGTTTGTGGTCCAGATTGCCGGCAAGAACCACCCCATCCGGCGAGCTTTAGCCGCGCAATACGCGGGCATACCAGCGCCGCTAGCAATCTGGCCGCTCTGTCCCTTTTTGTTTTATGTTGTCTGTTTGTTTATTTAAACAAACAGCTGACACAACACACCTACATAAATGGCGCCCAACGTGGGGCCGAAGTAGGTCCATAGACCAATTTATAGGAACTATCTTTCCCTGAAGTCTGCGTAGGCCGGTTAGGTTAATAAGAGTCCCTAGCTGTAGCTACGTAGGCGGACGGGATAGGTATTGACATTTTTAATTTTTTTTCCTTTTAGTTTCAATAGGTATGAATCCCTAATTGCGCATGGCAACTATTGTTCTCACAGATGTAAGTCCCGTCTCGAGGACTAAAGAGTCCCGATCGCGTTGCGACATCTGGTGTGGACAATAGGGTCGGAATTCTGGATTCTTTCGTTGCTATCCTTTCCTAACCAACTTGAGGCTTAGAGATAAATAGACACAAGTTTATTCTCTAAATGCTCAAGTTGGATGGAAGGATAGCTACAACAATCCCTTTAGATTACAATAGCCCAAAATTAATTGCTCTTAACGTAAAGATACGTACGTTTTAGTTCTACAGGAAGTCTAGGAAGGTAGTCCTTGAATACCAGAGGAACGTAACCTTGATCAAGCTGCACCTCGTTAGTCCGTACTGTAGGAAGACAATTAGTTCTTGTACATCCTTTTGTTTTGTTGTTGTTGTTAGTCGTACTCTGCATCTCCTGAAACCAGAATAGGAAAAATAATTAGGTCATATCTATACACAATTCAGCAATGTAAATTGTGAAAACTTACCTGCAAACTTTTATTTACCCGAAAATGCCGCCCGCATACAAGTTATTTAAGTTTTGAATTTTGAGTTTGTTTTCTTTTTGGTTTTTTGTTTGAAAGATCGAAAATCTTTTAGTTATATCTTCTTTTGGAACTTACGCTGCAAAAGATTCTGTGCTACGAATTCGTATTTATATATATTACACACCTTGTTTTTTTAAATAAGTGTGAATTTTGTATTAATTGTTTTAAATGGTTTTAACCCGTCGCGCGGGTCGTTTAGAACAACAAACCAACGCTATGGCAACAGCGAGTAATGTAACTTGTAGTACCGATACCCCTACCGCATCTATCGCTACGTTTACCCATCCCACAGCCAGTACAACAACGACTACAACTACACACCAGCACCCACGATCTGTCCATCAGTTCTGAGAGTGCAAATCAGACAGTAGTGTCACCGACATTCCTAAGCGAAACAGCGCAGAACATTAGGAGGGAAGTTCGAGGTAGTATGGCAGGCCAAGGGATGGAAAATTCCATCCAAGTGAATGACATCCAGAATATAGTGGATGCTTCGGTGGGTTTGCGCCAAGTTCAATTTATGAAGGAGGTCGACAACAAAATACAAAAAGTATTAGATGACATGAAGCAGCTGTTTTTGTCGCTGTCGATGAGTAATGCGGCTCCCGTGCCTGCCG